TCTATCAAAGTCAGTCATTGCGTAATGTGGCTGTTACTCTGTATAATGTTCTCCTGGTTCTGCTCACTTCACTCAGCATCAGTTCATATAAGTCTTTCCAAGTTTTTCTGAAGTCTTCCTGCTCATCATTTCTTATAGCACAATAGTATTCCATTACATTCATATACAACAGCTTGTTCAGTCATTCCCAAATTGGTGGACAATCCCCTCAATTTCAAATTCTTGGACACCACAAAAAGAGCCGCTATAAATATTTTTGTACATGTGGGTCCTTATTTTTCTTATCTCTTTGGGATACAGATCTAAAAGTGGTATTACTGGGTTAAAGCTTATGAAGTGTTATAGCCCTTTCGGTATAGTTTCAAATTGCTCTCCAGAATGGTTAGATCAGTTCACAACTCCACCAATAATACATTCCAATTTTCCCAATATTTATCATTTATCATTTTCCTGTTTTGTCATGTTAGCCAATCTGATTAGTGTGATGTGATACCTCAGAGTTGTTTTGATTTGTATTTCTCTAATCAATAGTGATTTAAAGCATTTTTTCATATGACTATGGATAGCTTTAATTTCTTCCTCTGAAAACTGCCTGTTCATATCCTTTGAGCGTTATCAATTGAGGAATGACTTGTATTCTTGTAAATTTGACTCAGTTCTCTATATGTTTTAGAAATGAGGCCTTTATCAGAGACACTCGTTGTAAAAATTGTTTCCCAGCTTTCTGTTTCCCTTCTAATCTTTGTTGCATTGGCTTTGATTGTGCAAAAGCTTTTCAATTTATTGTAATCAAAGTCATCCATTTTGTATTTCATAGTGTTCTCTACCTCTTGTTTGACCATAAATTCTTCCCCTCTCCATAGATCTGATAGGCAAACTATTCCTTCCTCTCCTAATTTGCTTATAGTATCCATCTTTATATCTAAATCATGTACCCATTTTGATTTTATCTTGGTGTAGGGTGTAAGATGTTGGGCCATGCCTATTTTCTGCCATGCTATTTTCCAATTTTCCCAGCAGTTTTTGTTAAATAGTGAGTTCTTATTCCAGAAGCTGAAGTCTTTGTATTTATCAAATAGTAGATTATTATAGTCATTGACTGTTGTGTCTTGCATACCTAGACTATTCCGTTGATCTGCTACTCTGTTTCTTAGCCAGTACCAAGTTTGATGATTGCTGCTTTATAATACAATTTAAGATTTGGTACAGCTAGACCACCTTCTTTTGCGTTTCTTTTTATTAGTTCCCTTGATATTCTGGACCTTTTGTTCTTTCAGATGAATTTTGTTATTGTTTTTTCTAGCTCTATAAAATAATTTCTGGTAGTTTGGTGTGGCACTGAATAAGTAAATTAATTTAGGTAGAATTGTAATTTTTATTATATTAGCTCGGCCTACCCATGAGCAACTGATATTTTTACAATTATTTAGATCTGACTCTATTTGTGTGAAAAATGTTTTATAATTGTGTTCATATAATTCCTGAGTTTGTTTTGGCAGATAGACTCCAAATATTTTATAATGTCTACTGTAAATTTTTAATAGAATTTCTCTTTCTATCTCTTGCCATTGGGCTTTGTTGGTAATATATAGAAATGCCAATGATTTATGTGGGTTTATTTTATATCCTGCAACTTTACTAAATTTGTTTATTATTTCAAATAATTTTTTATTTGATTCTCTAGGATTCTCTAAGTATGCTATCATATCATCTGCAAAGAGTGGTAGCTTTGTTTCTTCTTTGCCTATTCTAATTCCTTCAATGTCTTTTTCTTCTCTTATTGCTAAAGCTAGCATTTGTAGTACAATATTGGATAACAGTGGTGATAATGTATATCCTTGTTTCACCCCCGATCTTACTGGAAATGCTTCTAGCTTATCCCCATTACATATAATGCTTGCTGATGGTTTTAGATAAATATTATCTATCATTTTAGGGAAAACTCCATTTATTCCTATGCTCTCTGGTGGTTTTAATAGGAATGGGTGTTTTATTTTGCCAAAAGCTTTTTCTGCATCTGCTGAGATAATCATGTGATTTCTGTTAGTTTTGTTATTGATATGGTCAATTATGTTGATAGTTTTCCTAATATTGAACCAGTCCTGCATTCTTGGTAAATAAATCCTACCTGGTCATAGTTATTATCCTCAAGATAAGTTGCTGTAATCTCTTTGCTAATATTTTATTTAGAATTTTTGTGTCTATATTCATTAGGGAAATTCATCTGTAACTTTTTTTTCCTCTGTTGTAGGCTCTTCCCAGTTTAGGTATCAGCATGATACTTGTATCATAAAAAGAATTTGGTAGGACTCCTTCTTTACCTATTTTCCCAAATAGTTTATATAGTATTGTAATTAGTTGTTCGTTAAATGTTTGATAGAATTCACTTGTAAATCCATCTGGCCCTGGAGATTTTTTTTTCTTAGGGAATTCATTGATGGCTTGTTTGATTTGTTTTTCTGAAATGGGGTTATTTAAGTATTTTATTTCCTCTTCCATTAATCTGGACAATTTATATTTTTGTAAATATTCATCCATTTCACTAAGATTGTCAAACTTATTAGCATACAGTTGGGCAAAATAAGTCCTAATTATTGTTTTAATTTCCTCTTCATTGGTGGTGAATTCACCCTTTTCATTTTTTATGCTGGTAATTTGGTTTTCTTCTTTCTTTTTTTAATCAAATTAACCAAAGGTTTATCTATTTTATTGGTTTTTTCGTAAAACCAGCTCTTAGTTTTATTTATTAGTTCTATAGTTTTCTTAATTTCAATTTTATTAATGTTCTTTTGGCTTTCAGAACTTCTAAGTTGGTATTTAATTGGGGATTTTTAATTTGTTCTTTTTCTAGCCTTTTTAGCTGCATGTCCAACTTATTAATCTCTTCTTTCTCTATTTTATTCATGTAAGCATTTAGAGATATCAAACTTCTCCTTAGAACCACTTTCTCTGCATCCTATAAGTTTTGGTATGTTGTCTCATTATTGTCATTCTCTTGGATGAAGTTATCGTTTCTATGATTTGTTGTTTGACCCATTCATTTTTTAAGATTAGATTATGTAGTTTACGATTAATTTTTAGTCTATCTTCCCATGGCCCTGTGTTACATGCAATTTTTATTGAATCATGATTTGAAAAGGATGTTTTTAATATTTCTGCCTTTCTGCATTGGATTGTGAGTTTTTTTTTGCCCTAGTATATGGTCAATTTGTTGTCTTGATTTTGTGGTCAAGTTGTCTTGATTTTTGTCTTGCCACTGGATTTCAAGACTCTGGAGGAAGAAGTGAGGTTTTTGATAACTTTGTGCAGCTCTGCCTCACTTAAGTCCAATTAACATGCCGTATTTCACCACATAATCATCACCACCGCAGTCATCACACCCTCTTTTGTTCTGTTTTGCTTTGTTTTAGTCCAAAAATTGGTTTATACACTTTCATTGTGTAATCATTGCATGGTATAATTTGGTTCAAGATAAACAAAGCAGCAATGCATTCTATATGTGAGCTGGGAGCCTAGAATTTGCAGTGCATGCACATTGTCAGTATTTAATTTTGATGTATATTCACCTGTATTCTGTCCATCCTTATCTTGCACCAAAGACAGTTTAGTAATAAATGATTTTTAAGTAATACCAGCACAATTTAAAAAAAAACTTCACGTGATCATTGCACCCCACTTTTTTGCAAAAAAATTGGCATAAAATCTGCAGCAATTTTAATGTGGTGAAATAAGTACAAATCAAAACCGCCTATGATGTCATTCCTCTTCCAAACAGAGGATGAAGAACAACAATTTCTGCCCCAGCCCAGGACAGCCATTTTGGCATGGATTGCCACAGCAATTGACCTGGTTTCATTTTTTTCTTTTCGCTCCTCTCTTTTTCTCATTCTCTTTTCTTCTATCGAGTTGCTAAGCAATTGGAAAGGATTTTAAAGCTCATAGGATCCTATAGGGATCTATAGCTGGATGGAGACAATTTAGTGCTTTTATTTTCATATAGGGAAACTAAGGCTCAAGGTGGTTAAGTGATTTGCCCAAATGTTTCCTGTTTCAGAACACCCTCAGATGACTGGCATTGTCTTTCCTATGCCTTGTTCCCAACGGCTCTATCAAACCCTCTCTCAGCACAAATTTCTTTTATTAGTGAGCAGGTATAAATCAGTTGTCAATTTGAGTCCAATGATGGGACAATGCCTTTTTGCACTTCTCAAGTGTCATCTGTGAAATGGGAGATTAGCCTGTGAGGTCCCAGGCCTAAGAGCATGCATCGATAGTTTTCTGTCTAGTACCAGTACAACATGTGGAACTTTGGGGAGCAGATTTGTTGCCATGAGTGATAAAGGAATCATTATGGTATGACAAAAAAAGCTTCTTAGTACAGGAGGTGATGAGCTGGAACTGAATCCCTACTTCCTCTGGCACCCCTGCCAAAGCTCCACATGTTGGGTTTGCCCATTATATTTGTTTCTAGGTTTGATGAGTACAGTGTATTTAACCATTACTTCAGTGCTTTGAAGAGGTTTATTTTTATGGGTACTCTTTCCACTAGCATAAAAGAGTGATCCTTCCATGCTGCTCATTCTGTGTGTTTCTTGACTGTGCCTTTAACTACTCTAAAACTGAATCATAAAGTAATACATTTTTTGTCTTCCTCAACTCAAACAATTTCAAATTTGCAAATGTTCTGGTAGAATATAAGCTTCTTGTGGGCAGAGACTATTTTATGTATATCTTTGAATCCCCTAAGAGCCTAGCAGAGTGCTTTAAATATAGTAGGTGCTCATTAATATTTGCTGAATGAAATTGATTTTTTAATTGGATTACCTGAATCAGTGCTCTTGATGAGAATAGGGACAGGGAGCAGTGCCAATCAATACTTTCCAGTAAATAAAGTTCATTCTATATTTATATTGTATAGTTAAAAATGGATAGTTGTAATTTTTTGAAATGTTAAACTATTTTTGCAAAGCTGATGTTTTATTTTGTTATCTTTTTGCTAGGCAGTCCATACTTGAAATCTTACCTACTCTAAGAATTCTCAATGGTGAAACACTAAAATCTGATTCACCCAATCATGAAAGCAACATACCAGAACCAGGCAGTTTTTCAGCAATCTGCCAGACTCAGACCCAGGAATTTAACTTAATAGTTAAAAAATATGTCACCGAAAAAAGGTACGTAACCTAAATTTTAGCATAATTAAATATTAATGTAATTTTAGAACAAATATTTTAATTTAATCCCATCTGCCTGGTTGGGTATAATACCTTTGAAAACTCCCCAGTAAAACTGTGGGATATCAGATAACTTTGAGATCTGCTCTTTGAAATGTAAAATATATTCACTTGGAACAGTGCTTAAATAAAAATACTATACTTTGTATGGAGCTAAGTGCTGCCTTCTTAGAAACAAGTGAATTATGTGGAGGTCTCATTTTTTTCCCCATTTAGTAGCTTCTGAATTTCCCCATCATTTTCATCAAACCAGTTCTGATGTTTGCAAGTATTCTGGCCCAGATGAGAAAATGTGGTGCTGTACCCCAAATCTCTGAAAGCTGCCCACTCCTTTTCTGTTCCACTATTGCCAATAATGTGTTGTTTCAGCTTCCCACACACACAGACCCCCAACCTCAAGTCAGCAACAAACTGTTGAGAACAACAAACACAGAAAAGTGCTCTAATCTGTTGACATTGAGTCTTCTATCTGTTAATACATACCATGAGAAGTCTGACTTGGGTAGGTGCTGATGTCTTTCTTGTCTGCTCATTTTGGGCTTGGAAATTTCAGCTCTGATTTTACTCTCCTGCCTGCTGAAGGGATAGGAAAGGGGAAAAAAGAGAACAGGAGAAATTGAAGGTAACATATGATCATTCTTTCCTTAGGAAGAAAAATTGACAACTGGTAATAGCTGCTAAGTAGTTATGGTCAGAGTCGGTACTAGAATGAACAGCTATTGAAAAAAATAGCTCCCACCTACATTTTTAATTTCCTAAGGAAAATTTTCCATTCATCCATGACAACTGAATAAATAATTGTTTCCATAACTACTTATTTTGCTTATTATTTCTTTCTTAAAGGAAAACATATTTTTTGTTTATGCTTACCAGATCTAAAATATGGAGACTGATTTTTATTTTAGACTTAAGAATTTCATGATTCAGAAAAAAATTGAGATTATATAAACTATTGTTTCTGTTTTGTTTTCTCTTACTGTTCTTACATTTTGTTTGGATTTAGTGAGATGTTACTATAGATAGTTACTAATAGAACTGTGAAAATAAAAGTAGTAGAGGTATATTCTTAAAAAAACACCATCACCACCACCACCAATAATAATATTGCTTTAAGATTTGCAAAGCACTTTACATACTGTATCTTATTTGATCCTCCCAGCAACCCCTGAGAGGTAGATGCTGTTATTATCCCTCTTTTACAAATGAGGAAACTGAGGCTGAAAAAAGTTAAATTACTTGCCTCTGGTCACATAGTTATCATGTATCTGAGTAGGATTTGAGTACAGGTCTTCTTGACTTCCAAGTCCAGTACTCTATCTACTATACCATCTAGCTATCTAGTAATTATTACTCAATTATGATTCTTTTTCCTATAAATGAGTTTCATAATTTACTCTGCTTTGAGATAAAGTCTAGAAAAAAGAGAGTTTTATATTTGATTAATTTAACTGACATTGCATCCTCAACAAGACCAGAACAATGTATATTGCTAAAAGTCGTTATTTACTAGTCCATGTTTTGCATGTGTTATTACTATTTTCAGACATACTTACTGTACCAAAGAGTTGACGGTTCAGTATCATACAATATTTTAAACTTCAGAAGATACAAGCCAAACATGATTTTAAAGCAACGCTTTTATTTTTATTTGCATTTAAAAACAAATGTATTATTCCAATGTGAACTACTGAACTGTAAAGATATAACTATTCAGAAATAATATTCCACATGTATTTATGCATATATATATATACACACATATATAAGTAGTAAGTATATATGTATGTACGTATTTGTACTTTTTTGCAGGTTAACATGGCTCTTATATAGCATTGAAATTCACAAAAGGCCTTTTTACATGAATAATTTGAAGTGGTAGCAGTTAAGATCAATTATATTATTTAGAAAAATGACAGAAAGATACATCTTTGTTTTTATTTGTTTACTAAGCACGTGGCAATATTCAGTGCATCGCCATAACTGTATCTGATATGCTATAATTCTCATTATCCCTTCCTCATCCCTCCTATGGTTGGAAACATCATTATTAATATAATGGAGCCATTCTGTGCAAAAGGCCTAATAATTAATGTGACATTTGAGTATATACTGAGAAAATCTTTAAAACAAAATATAGCTGATGATTTTACCTGACCTTTTAAAATTTAGTTTGCTTAAATTTGTAAACTTAATATTGTGTTAAAGTATTTGAATTCTATTTTCAAGTAAATTCTCTTTCAAGTGAAAAATGGGAAAAAACCTTTCCCATAACATCAGTCCTTTATTTAAAAGTCCAATAAAAATATTTTGCATGGCAAGATTCAATGTTGGAAGAACTTTCAAGTGTATTTCATAAATAGCTTCTCCAAATTTAGGCAGCAGCAATCCTCATAGGCTTTCTCTCTGCATCTGATGTTTACAGCTGTGAAGGCTTGACTCTTTCTCATTCATTTGTACAAAAAAATACCTAGTGGAGGGAAATGTAGCAAAATAAGACAACTAGACATTTTGTGTCATCTAATCATTTAAAATTATGTAAATGAATATTTTTATTTTTATGAAAAATATCTGTTAAAAAATAACCAAACCGATATAAACTTCTAATAATTAATATCAATGGGAATCATAGTGTTCATTAAACTTACTTAAAATTGTAACATTTTCTTATATTAATTATGATAAAATACTTTTCATACTTTTTCCTTCAGAAATATACACTCCTTGGATGCCATAGATGACTTGTGCTGTTATTTTAATGAGCTAATGAAAATTAGTAGTAAGTACAGAGATGCTCATGAAAATGGAGATTTCAGAATCGTTGATAGAGATGAAGATTTAAATATCAAGAAGAGAGACCAATCAGAAGAACAGCAAGATCATTTGAAACAAGTAGCCAGTAACAGTCCACAGCAAAACAACCTCTCCATTACTGGGGGAAATGAAAATAAACAGGATTTTGTGGAAGCTTCTCAAAAAAGAATTGATCCTGACAACAGTGACTCTGGATCCACTGCATTTTCCATACATGAGCACATAGATAAAATTAATCAAAACCAAAGAGTCCAGAGAAGGAGGAAAGACATCGTGAGCACCAAAATCCATACCAAGAATAGCACTGTCAATGAGCCATTAATTACAAGTGAAATGGAAAAGGATTTCCAACATATTCAGAATGATGCCAAAAAGTAAGATTTATAAACGTAATTTTTCTTCATAGTATCACACTCTTGATTACATTTTATTGTATGATCTTGGGCAAAAGGTACCCTTCTAGTCCTTTTTGGTACAGGTACAGATTTTAAATGACCAGACACCAGACACAGAATCAGGCCTTTCTAACTTTCTTTTCAGAGAAGGCTTATATATTTACTATTTATTCATTGAATTTAATTGAGTCCAAAAATTATTGAATTTTATTACATGTATGTTTGTTTTAATTTCCTTTTTATAAGGGCCAAGTGAATCATGCCAATATGCCTTCTGATTTAACTGCATATATCCTTTTTACTTTTCAGCTGGAGAACTATTTTAGTAACCAAGAATGACATTATGAATGGTTAGATGGTAAATTAGTTTACTTTTTCTGTAGTAAAACATGGTTTTAGCTTTAGTCTAATATATTTCCTTCTGCCTATTGACTCCAATGTCAAGGTTGGGAAGAAGAATAATTGTTTAAGTTAATTTCTCTAAAATAATGGCAGATCGTAACCTCTCTAGGCTTTTACATTCTGTAAGGTTGCTGTTCATGTTTTTCTGTAAATTCTCCATAAAGAATCTACCTGACTCACTGGAGGCTTTCCTTGGTTCTCCTAAGATTTCGTGGATCTGAGCACAATGCTTTGGCTGTCCAGTTATATTTCAGTCTCACTACATGACTTATCCACCTCCTTATGTCAGGCTACACGTATAGGAGATGCTGTTTATATTCTACTTCTTTGGCACAAGTCAAACAAGCATTAATTAATGTCTTCTATACTGTCATAGGGGCAGAGAATACAAAGATGAAAGTAAAACAGCCTCTATCTTTGAGAACCTCACATTTTATCAGAGGAGGCATGTGCATATAGAAATGTATAAAATACAAACAAAACTAATCTGAGGTAGTTTGTGTTGGGGGTGGGGAAGATATTGACCATTGGGGGATGAGGAAAGGTCTCAGGCAGAAGGTGTCACCTGATCTGAGCTAGGAAGGAAACTGGGGATTCTGAGTGGCTTAGATAAGGAGAAAATGCATTCCAGGCATGGTTTGTAAAAAACCAGAGAGACAAAGGACTGAATGTTTCCCCCAAGACAAAGGCAGAAAAGATGTTCCTTCAGCTAAACCGTTGAGTATATGAAGGGATGTCATGTGTCACAAGGCCTAAAAGGTTGGAGCTAGATTGTGAAGGATTTTTAAATGTGAAACAGGGGACTGTGTATTTGATCTTAGACATAATAAAAGGAGGGGCTGGGCATTGTTGAGGAGGGGAGTAACACAGTCAAGCCTTATGCTTCTGTATAATTACTTTTGCAGGCAGCTGTGTGGGAGATAGATTAGAAAGATTAGAAAGAGGAGAGACTAGAAAGATTCATTAAGGAGCTATTGAAATAGTCCCAGGGAGAAGTGTTAAGGCCCGATCTAGGGTGGTAGATATGAGAGGGAAGAGAAAGAGATGCATGTAAAAACCTATTGGGGAGGTGCAGTTAAGTGTTGGCACCTGATTGTATGTATGGGATGAGAGTAAACCAAGAGTCAAGGATGTTTCCAAGGTTTAGAACCTAGGGGAGTAGAAGGATGGTAGATAATATCTGGGGAGAGAAATTGGAAAGCGTAGGAGATGAGTGGATTAGGGGGAAAAGATAAAAGTTCTGCTTTAGTCTTACTGAGTTTAAGATGTCTCCAGGGTAATCCAGTTTGAGATGTTCATTAAGGAGCTGGCAAGCTCCAGGCCTGGAGCTCAGTAGAGGGTTTGGTTTCGATAGCTAGATCTAGGAGTCATGTGCATAAAGATGATAATTAAACCCATGGAAGTTGATGAATTAACCAAGAAAGAGTGTGAAAAGAAAACAGAAGAGGGCCCAGGACAGATCCTTGAGGTCTACTCAAGTTACTGAGCATGGCATGGATGATAATCCAGTAAAGATATAGGCAAGAGGAGAATTGAGAAATAATGGTGTTATGAAAATGCAGAGGAAAGAGAGTAGAGTATTCTGGAGGATATGGAATTCACAAGTACCCAAGGCCTCAGAGAAGTCAAGAAGTATGAGAAAAGAAAAAGCGAGCAGCATTGACAGTTAAGAAATCATGGCGTCTTTGAAGAGAGGAGTATCACTTTGCTGAATGGTTTGGAAGCCAGACAAAGTGAGTAAGGAGAGGAAAAGTGGAGGCAGTGAAAGTAGAGGTTTTTTCTTCTTGTTTGGCTGTGAAAGGATGGAGAAATAACAACAGCTTGAGAGAGAGAAGGAATTTGGTAGATCAGTTAATGGTTTTGTAAGGATCGGGGGTGACTTGAGGTATATTTGTACACAGCAGGGACAGAGCTAATAGATAGGGAGAAATCTAAAATTAGAGATGAAAGAGAATTGTGGGAGCAAACTACCTGAAGAGATTGGGGCAAGGGGGATGGAATCAAGGTTAAGTTCTGAGAGGTTGTCCTTCAGAAATCAACCAATCTGTGTATACTTAACAAGCATTTATTAAACACCCACTTATATGTGTTGTGGATATAAAGAAAAAATGACAGTTTCACCCTTAAAGATCATGCATTCTATTGGGAGTACATATTCTGTACATACATATATACATATATGTTCATGCATATGCATATATATATATATATATCCATATACTATATGCACCTAAAATAAACATAAGGTTTTGGGGGGCTGGGAGTAGGGGAGAAAGTATTAGGAATTCCTCCTCTACTCATATAGCCACCACCACAGTTTAAGCTCTTGTCACCTCTTGCATGGAATATGCCATCAACTTCTTAATTGATCTCCCTGCTTCAAATCTCTTTTCCACCCCAGTCCATTCTCTGCATAGCTGCCAAAGCCATTTTCCTAAAGCACAGGTCTGACCATGTCACTTTCTTACTCAACTTCAGTGATGCCCTATCAACCATAAAATACTCCTCTGTTGGACATTTAAAACCCTTCTCAACACGGCCCCAACCTGCCTTTCCAGCCTTTTTGCACATTACTCTCATATATTCTATGGTTAAGCCAAACTGTCCTTTTTTCTATTCCTTACTCTTGATCCCTCATCTATGTGTTTTTACATCAGTTGTCTCCCATGCCAGGAATGTACTTCTGACTTACTTCTTCCTCTGAGAATTCTTTGGTTTCTTCAGGATTCAAGTACCACTTTCCATGAAGTCTTATTTGAATCTCTAAGATTGCTGGACCATTCCTCCTAGTTACCTTGCCTTTTTTGTAACATGCACATATATATCATATATATGTGTGTGTGTGTGTGTGTGTGTGTGTGTGTGTGTATGTGTGTATATGTGTGTGTGTACATATTTTATCCTCCAAAGAATATATGTATGTTCCATGAAGGCATGGACTGTTTGATTATTTTTCTTTGTATCCCCATCATTTAACATAGTGCTTGACATTGAATAAGTACTTAATAAATCTTTAATTGATTGACTATCATTTAAAGCCCTTCATAATCTTGCTCCAGTCTACTTTTCCAGCCTTATCATACACAATTCCCCTTCATACCCCACATGGTCCAACCAAACTGGCCTTCTTTGCTCTTCCTCAATCAATGTGTTTCCCACAATACTCTCGTTTCCCCTCTCTCTGCTTTTGCATAGGCTTTCCTCCACTCCCTCCTCATTTCCACCTCTTAGAATCTCTAGCTTTCTTCACAAAATTACTCGGATGCCACCTTTGATCTAAGACCTTTGCTGATTCTTCCAGCTGCTAGTTCTGAGCCTGGAATAAAGGATCAGAGAACAGGGATGTTATTGTGGGAAGGAAAGCAGTAGTTGAGATGTAGAGAAGAGGAGAAAAGGAAGCTCTTGAAGCCTGGAAAGCCTGAGGCAAAGTCTTCTGCAGATAGCATGGAAGGATGGACGGTGTGAAAAACTTGAAGAGAGGAGAGATGTTTCAGAGCAGCCACTTCATGGAATGTAATAGAGAATAGAGTAAAAATATTGTCTTGCCACAGTAAGGGCCCAGGCAAAATGAGATCGTATATATTTATCCAGTCATCACAGTTATGGGGCTTTATCATTATTCAGTCATGGTGAGTCATCTTAGGTTGATTACCCTTTGTATTACCTATAATTTTGACTTCCCTGAAAGCATAATGTTTTGTATGTCTCAGTAAGACAGCAATTCTAAGAGAATATAAGCATTAAAAAGGTGGGCATCTGTATTGATGAGTAGCTTTGGAGCATTGAAATGGAAAACCTTATACAGTTTCCTCCTACTTAGTTCTGGGCCCAGTTCACGTTCTGTGTTCAATGCCTGTCTAACATACACGTGCACACACACACACACACACACATATATTATATACATACATACATATATATCCATGCACATATAGATATATGTGTATCTATAAGTATGTATACGTACTGATGGAATGATTCATTGGGCTCTCTATTCAACTATTTGTCACAATTAGGACAATATACATACTTTATCCACTGTTTTTCCTGTAGCATAGGTTAGTTGATCTCTCACAAACAATTGTATGTAGCATCAGGAAGACTCTGTAGTATTTTGAGGATTGATACAATCAGCCCAATGGCCTCTGCAAACAGCAGTGCTTAGAGAACCTCATCATGGTTAGGGAATCCCTTCTGTATTTGGAGCTTGTGGAGGATGTCTTCTTATGAGGAGAGATTGTTTCATTCTTTGAACTAGGATGCCCTCACCCCCACACCCACCCACACATACACCTAGCACAGTGTCGGGCACATAATGGGCAACTATTAATGCATGTTAGTTTATCAATAGATGATACTGTTGAACTCTCTGGGAAATCGTATCTTTCTATTTTCTGACTCATTTGATGTTAATACTCAGCAGATCAATGAACAAAGTTGTCTTCGTCATCCTGGGAGTTTGTATGATTGTAACTTCCACAGAGTTATGTGAGTAGAGACACATACATGAAAAGTATAGAGAATAGAAGATCCCCCTGTACTTACTGTTTGCAGACAATTAAAAGATATTTGATTGC